CCTGTTTCTTTGGTTGTCTCCAGATTCAGCAGAGATTCTGCTCTTTAATTAGCTTTGACTTCAGACCTAAACTCTGCATATCTCATTTCAGAAAAAAAAAAGAATAGTTTTAGGTGTATAATACACATAAAAGCCACAGTAGCTTTCCTTGCCAAAATCATTCATAAGTAACTAAAAATTATTAGGTGGGTTTGGTGGGGGGTTTTCTCTGGTCTACTTGATGCTGGAACAGGTAACCACTCGACATCCCCTTCTCAGATTACCAACAGCATACCAGTCATAACCTTGATCTGGTTTTTTTGTTGACTGTTAAACCAGCAATCCAACCAATTCACTTTTTCTTTGGGAAAAGAAAAAAGAAAAAAGAGGGGAAAAAAAGCATGGAACATGTGTTCTCTTTTCCCCCCTAGTGTAAAACAAAATAACAAGAAAGTGTAAGGTCTGAGCATGGTGACGGTAGCCAGTTCTCGTAATTTCCACTTCTTTTTGAAATTATGGAACATAACAAACAGTAACAGGAAACCACTAAATATAAACCCAGAGAAAAGGAGAAAGAAAGGAAAACAAAGGAAAACAGGAAGGAATGCTCATAAATGGGCAAAGGCAGGACCAAAGAACCAACACGGGGGGTGTGGGTGAGGAGTCATATCACTTTCTGGCAAACATCTTGTCTCAAATCGGAAGTATTCTGTGGCTGGTTGCGGAGTTTAAGGACTGGAGAGCAGTAGAGCTCTCAGGGAAGGGCTGCAGGCAACTTCATTTGCTGTGGTTTTGGGAAGATGCAGCTGCTCCCATTCATTGCTCTTTCCACTCCCATACCTACGGGACAACTATATAGTGCAGCAGCTAACACAGACTAACCACTGTTCTAGTGTATGCACGTTGGTAACAAAGAAATACTGTAAATATAAAAATGCTATGTAGTACTGAGAGCTCAGGTAAAAGTTTAAGGGTGTATTTTAAAATGCTACTTACCTTTCCCACATAAACCAAACATGGATTGTTTTAATAGGCCTCTTCTGATTTATCCGTATTTTAGTTTCCTGTGCAACTGGGCTTAAATGTGTTCTTTAAACAAAAAATACTAAACCAAAGAAATACTACACTTTAGAAAACTCTTCAGAACCAAGCTGTATCAACTACTGCCTCTTTAATTTCTTTCCTGTGGAAACATTAATCACCAGTTCTTGGTTCTGTTCCCAGACATGCACAACATTCTTCGCTGTGAGTGTGGTGAGACACTGGCACAAGTTGCCCAGAGAAGCTGTGGATGCCCCATCCCTGGCAGTGTTCAAGGCCAGGCTGGATGGGGCTTTTAGCAACCTGGTCTAGTGGAAGGTGTCCCTGCCCATGGCAGGGGGGGGGAACTAGATGGTCTTCAAGGTCCCTTCAACCCAAACCATTCTATGGTTCTGTGATTTAAGATGACACACATTAAAGCTACGGCCTGTATGTGTTCCATTTATCTCGTGGTGTGATGGAGACAGGTATCTGCAGAGGGAAATTCAGATGATAGGTGAGCTGAATTTTCCTTCGGTGGTTCCTTGCCTGAGGCCTCCAAATATAGGTATAAGTACGTCAGGGAAGGTGAATGTAATCTAGGCCTATGAATGAATACATATGAGTTGAAATAAATTAGTAAAGTTAAGTTCTTGATTTTATCCCATAATAAACCATTACAAAATAAGAAAATAATTGTCTTAAGGTAAACTTTATGTGAAAAAAAAAAAATGCAAACTCATTACAGATGCCGCTTAGACAACTGAACTGGACTTTTACCTGTAGCAACTCTTTGCAAGACATGTAAAATCTGTGCACAAATAGCTGGGCTGATGCTTCTCCACCTTCTAGAGGACAGTTGAGTTTGGGACAATGAAAGGTAGTATGTTCCTGTTGCTCGGTGTGTTTGGATTTCTCTTCAAAAAGCCAAAATGAGAGTTTCCTGAGTTTCTGTTGCTTGTTGTGGGATAACTTCAAGACCTTAGAACGTGATTTTGCTCTTAATAGTACATATCTTGCTCAGTTTGGGCACAGATGTCATGTGAGAGCTTATTTAAAAACAACAACAACAAAAAAACCAAACCAAAACCAACAAAGCTCAAACTTCTGGTTCTTAAAGATATCCCCCAAATTATTGTCACGTTTGTTCCAGTGATGTAAAGATGTGTCTGATTCACACCATTCTACATTCTTAAAGGAAAGCAGGTCGTACCCACTTAACTATTAAGTAAGTCGGCCCAACATAACAGGTGTTTTAAACTAGAGGATTAACATCATTCATGCTTCAGTTTTTCATAAGATTAATTCTTCTTTCGCAGGGGACAAATGCTGCTATCCCATCATTGTATGCAACTGCAGCTTTCAGAAAGCTGGTGCCATCTTCAGCTGGTCTCAGTGGGGCTGGGGCTGGAGACAAGTGCTCAAGGAAGAAAGTGTAGATTATTGAAGCAAGTATTGCACTGGTGGGTTCTGAAGAAGGGAGTTAGCGGGCGTATTTTAGTTTCAGTCCTCTGCAGAATTATAAGCGTTTTGAGGGGAAGAAAAAAAAAAAGTTTTTAGTATAAAATCCTGCAATTATTCATTCATTAGCTTTGCCATTACTCTTCTTTTTTCTTTTTTTTCTTTCCCACAGGAGCTCTTAACCCAACCCCCCCCCCCCCAACCCCCAAATAAATATTTTTTCAAATGTAGCAGCTGTGAGAGGTCAGCCAACTTTAGCCACAGCTTTACTGTTACTATAGTGATTTACAATACAAAGCATTACGTTGCTGAAAATTAATTTTCTATTAACTTAGTTGCAAATTCTTGAGATTGGGGCTGGGGGGGGATCTTTCCATGCCCAGAAGATAAAAAATAGTTCAATACCTTTTTCTGGCACATTACTTAAAATCTGAGTAAGTGATATTCAGCTATGGCGCTGTAAATGGTACTTCTATAACTCCCTGATTTTTTTCAAACACCACTCACAGCCGGGACATGCTCTATACTGTATTCTTTGGGAATTTATTAAATATAGTTTCTAAAGAAACTCCAAGCATGAACACAGGCACAAATTGCATGAAAAAAATAGAGTTTTCTGTACTTTTGTGAAACGTTGGTGCTGTTGGGTAGTACTTTCCACATTTTTGGTCTATTTTTCTTTTACTTCCTACTACTTATCATTGTGTTGTGGTTTTAGGTGCAAAATAGTTCTTTTTTTTTTTTTTTAAAAAGCAGTATCTGGTAATTATAAGCTTCATTTATGCTTTTTAGTTCAGTTACAGGTATACAGCATATTATATTATGTAATGGGGAGAAGCTGTGTTACTAATTTGTGAGGAAAGTTAATGCATTTTTAATGTAAAAATCTCATGTAAGAATACACTCGAGACCACAATGATCTTAAATCTTAAACTAATGTAACAATCTAAGTAAATGCATTAGAACCATTCCCTTTAAAAATACATACACTTTTAGCTTTGTGGCTTGGTTTATTCACTTTTTTTTAGCAGAGAAAAAGCAGCAGCTTGCCTTATGCTAAACACTGTACAGTAGGCTATAAAACATCAAAGCTGTTGAAATTCAGCAATGGAGGTAGTATTAGTTTGTTGCTGCCCTTACAAATTACTATGTCCTCATCTCACACTGAAAAGGAAAATAGCTTCATGGTGGCAGTTACTTCTGAAAGGGACGGCTAATGAAGGCATTGGAAAATTCTGTAGAAAAATAATGTAATTTGCAGTCTTTCATCTGGGAATCCATTTCAGCATTACTCCGTACAACGCACGAGCCCATCTTCTGCTCCTCCACTCCCCTGTCAGGTCACCTTAGGAAAATATTTTACTCTAGTCCTTTAAGCTTAAAATCGAGTTGTCTGTTCAGATTTGTTGTGTTTCATTATGGAGTGTTCAGATAATCCCTCTTGCTTTAATAAAAAAAAAAAGAAAAAAAAAAAGAAAAAAAAGGTATTTTAAACTAGTCCAAAGGTATGGTCATGTATTACTGTAATAAGGATCATGGTTTTAAGTGTACTCCATTTTGGTTTCCACCATGAACATCTAATCCCTGTAACAATGTTGTATGTTTATTTAAAGTATATATATATATATATAAAAAAAATTAAATGTAAGATTTTTGCAGTAATTAAGATTTTTTTTAAATTTGAATATGAACTTTGAGTACTTTATTTCACACAAAAAAAATTAAAAATACTTTCCTGGAGTGTTAAGTTTCAGAATTCAAGACTATATTTGTCAAATTTTAAGTTTAAAATATGTAGCTAACATTGTTTTCTGATATTGACTGTAAATATTTGTAAAAAGAAATTCTTTTGTATATTTTTGTGAAAATGTAGTTCCCCAAAAGATAAAGAAGATTTAATAAAAAAGTGCATTTATGTTATGGCTCAACACTTTTCATTGTTATAATACCACTTAAACGTATTATGGTCACCTCCTGGGATTATTTTGTGCAAAGTAACTCACAGGAACTTTCTCAAATGAGATAATTACAGAGTATGCCCAGTAGCAGGTGTACTGGAACAAAAAAAAAAAAAAAAAAAGTTCTTCAGAAGGAGATTCAGAGAGGTACTTTCTAGCTTCCTGGTATAAAACGGAGACATCTGAAACCATTTATTTTCAAGTGAAGCAGTATTTAATTTCATAGGCTTCTGAATGGGAACACAATATCATTAATTGTTCTTGCTTATGAAGTGTTTTTGTTGCCTTGTCTTTGTTTTTTCAGCATTTGAGAAAGTATCATCAGGGGTATGATGACTATTACATGGAAAAAACGCTCAAAAGACAAACCATTTACTTGCTTTTTCCCTGTGAGTGTGTGAAGAGTTCAGTCGCTGTTTGCCAGGACATCAGTTCAGTTGTATGCATTGTACCAAACATTTCCCATATGATCTGACTACAAGAATAAGCTTTCTAAGTCCTTCTGATGACACACTTACTTACTTATTTCTTCAACACACCTAATCTTAAGCAAGAAACATTACCCAAACAGAACACAAAATGTGCTTTGAAAGTTTTTAATGGAATTTAAAGTAAAACTTCTCTTACACAGACATTTTCTTCTTACAGCGTAAAAAAAATGTAAAATTGCTCAAACTTACAAACTTGGAAAACTGGAGACACTTCAAGTATGCAATGTATATTAAAAGTTCAAAATGCATGATTTTTTCTAACATCCTGTGCCCCTGGCGGTTATCTTCCTTTCTACTACTGTCCAAAGGAGGCAAAGTTCAGTCTGAGGTTGTATCAGGATCATTCACTGAGGGGAAAGAGACAAACAATTCACTTTTACTTAGGTAACACTCCTGCCACTCTGTAAAGAGGATGTGAGAACTGATTTGCATCCTACCCCTGCAATGATTAAGACCGTTGCAGATGAGATTAGTTGGAGAGAAAGGCTCACATGATTTGACTATCTTTAAGACAGGCCAATGACTGCAGCTTTGGGAAGTTTGCTACTGGTTTATGAAGTCATGGACAGATGACCCGAGGGAGCTGTTCTGCCAGAAACACTCTGAGAAACATCTGAACATTTTGTGGAGAAGACAGCTTGGATGCAAGATAAAGCAATGGTAAAGAAAAGCTGATGTTGGATTTTCAGCTTTTTTCAAATAAAACTCAGTAAACACAACGCGTCCAGATCAGGATTCCAGCAACTCTGCCATACCCTAGCTGCAGGGCACTTGTTTTTTCAGGGTTTCATCACATTAGTTAATGTTTATACTACTAAAACCAAACAGTACAGAGTTCTCTTTAAAGATGCCTGTAACAGGTATCTTCATACAATCTTCATTGTTCATCACACACACACTACTCCTGTGAGTAAAATTACATTAGTGACATAAGTCACAACATACGTACACTCTAAACCTGAGAAAAATAAAATCTTTTAAAAAAAAGGGGGGGGGGGGGGGAAATGTATCTCACCTGGTTTGAGTTCGAGTCCATTTCAAGGCATGGCGTGGAGGTACAGCAATAGTTGGATGGTAAAAAGTGCAGTCTGGTCTTGTACACTGGGTATTAAATCTACAATGCTAAAAATGAAAGCATTTCAGAAGAGGCTGCTCCAAGCTGGCTACCTGAACTCCTGAACAAGCTAACCTAGAATGTGTTACATGCAGATTTGTATTCCTATATGACATATCCAATAGCTAATTGAATCAACAGCTTCATAGACTACTGCAGTCAGTTCAACCCAATGACAGAAGGAAATCCTTTTTCAAAAGCATTAATTATGAATTAGATGCTCCAAAACTGCCACTGCACTGACAGGTGGAAGTTCCTTTGCTTTTAAGGGTTTGCAGAGTTCAGTTTCAACTCATCTGTGGGCACAAGTTAGGAGCATGACAGCATTATCTGAAAGACAGAGGAAAAGCCAGATACTGGCTAACAGTATCTGGGAACAGAGTCTGGGGGACCCAGTGCATTTCAGCATTGTTAGGGCTTGAAAAAGCACTCAATTTACTGGCATAAGAATATACAGGGATGCGATTCTGTAGTATAGAAGTACCGGAGGTATAAACTCTTGTACTGTATAAATTACATTAATATACTCCAGGGTAACTGGGCAGTCTTTAATGTTCTTGTATATTGCAGCATATCTGAATGAAAAGTCAAGAGTCTGAAACATATTCCTTCCATATAGGCTACAAGATGTCCTCCCCCTCTGCTCCCAACATCCTGGTGGGGCAGGTTTTTGACAAGCGCTATGGCTGGCTGCATGTTTGAAACTCCCCAGAAGCATCTGGTAGAAAGATTATTTAAAAATACCATTTTCCAAATTCTTTAAGTCACTGCTATTGCACATTCTGTTTCTGAGCTAAAGTTATGATGTGAAAAAGTAAAAGCAAAAAGTGTGAAATGCTAGTGACATTTCCTGACCCAAAGTAACATATTTCAAGTGTCTTTCTAGAAACGAAGGGAAGAGATAGGAGATAATTCTTACTTTTGGGTGGTAAAATGGACATTCCATTTTCTTACAAGCAGGAAAAAACTTGCACAGCGGACTACTGGAGGATATAGATGGTGTGGGTAGTGGTGCTAAGAGTAGAAAAGAAAAGAACAGGAAGTGAGCCTGGATGAGAATAAATTGCTTTTTTAATATAGCTCCACGCAAACTTAAATATATCAATCCTTCTGCAAGAAATTATGTTTTACAATACACCAAAGTTCTGCAAGAAATGCAGGAAGCCTATCACAATGCACTATGTGGATCTCATCCTGGGATAAGAACAAGACTATCAGGTAATCGTTAGTCTTGATTCTTCACCATTTCAGGACAGAAGGTACCCTGGCCATGGCAATACTTCCAACAAATTAAGCAGAGGTTACAGTAGGCAGAGAAATTAAAAAGTTAAGTTTAGACAGCAGCAAGCCTGTTTAAGCTAACTGGGCTGAAAAGTGCTGGCTGTGCACTTTCCAGGAATACAGAGGAGCTGCTGGAAATGGTACAGGAGATAAGCTCATTGTACTCTGCCTTCTGGCAAAGTAACAACACTGCACGGTAATATGACTAAGGGCTAAACCACTTCCTGAGGAGCATGACTTCAGTGGAGTAAAGGCCCTCCACCTTGGCACTGTTCAAAGCCTCAGGAATACCAACCCGTAATCCAAAAACAGCTATTGCCTTCACTGGGTAACCTCATCATTACATAAAGTTAACTCCTACAGTGCCACTGAAAAAAAATGTTCATACAAAGACAGAAACAAGCTCTTGATACAACATGTATCCAATTTAAGAAACAAATTTGAGTAAAACTGCAATGCTAGCTAATCCCTCCAGAAGAAGGGACTACTTGTGCAAGTCACCACTTTGGCCTTACAGAGATTTCTTATGGACTCTTGCATGAGAGCATTAAGGGATTTTTCCGATAACAGTTTTTGCAGTAACACTGGATTATTGTTCTGCATCTAGCATTAAGAGTTGAAAGAAAATTAAGTCAAATCAAGCAAAAAATTATTTTTTCACCACTGTCAGTTTCTGCTTCTAAATACACTGTTCTCCCTTCAGCGCTTTTGTTTAAAGCTCAGAAAAACAAGAGATGCTCACCTGGTTTAGGAGATGGATGGGGGGTTCGTCGACTGGCATGAGTGTAAGGACAGTCTGGCTTAGTGCACTTTGCATCGTATTTACAGTTTGGATGGATGAACAAGCATTTATCAGCAAACTTGCAGTTAGGAAAAACTCTGAGGGAAAAGAAATTGAGTCATAAGCCCATACTCAGAGCAAAATCCCCAAGCAACTGTTGCACCTGAAAGCCAGAATATCACAGAAAGCCAGAACTACAAGAGGGCTTGCGCACCTGTGTTGGTTACTTCCAAAGCAGGACATGCGGGTGTAGTGTACTAGCTGTACACGAGCAGATCTATATTCAGTTTCCCTGTGGACACTCTTTACATGCATTAAATAACTGAACTGCCTCACACTCAGTGGAGTTTGGTAGCAAGCTACTTGTTGCAAGCTAAGACACATTATTCTTAGCATGCAGTGCAGAGCGGCAAAGGCACTGTGAATTCAGACCTTCACCCAGAGGGGCACAGAATTCCCTAAGTACGTGGTTCATTCACCGAAGAGAAAGTGTTATTTTGAATTTAGTTACCAGATTTTAAAAGCAAATTCAAATGTCTGAGTAAATGAAACTACCCAATCTGGTAACATTTATCTCAAAACAGAAATTGTTTTTCTAGACTGTTGCTGCTTGTGGAAGAGAAGTCAAAGGCACAGTGCACATTCAAGAGTTAACCTTTTTTTTCTGTCCTGGTTTCAGCTGGGATAGAGTTAATTTTCTTTCTAGTAGCTGCTATAGTGTTATGTTTTGGATTTAGTATGAGAAGAATGCTGGTAACACACTGATGTTTTTAGTATAAACACTACTTAGCAACAACTAAGTCAAGGATTTTTCAGCTTCTTATGCCCAGCCAGCGAGAAGGCTGGAGGGGCACAAGAAGTTGAGAGGGGACACAGCCAGGGGAGCTGACCCCAAGTGACCAAAGGAATATTTCCTACCGATGGACATCATGACTAGTATATAAACTGGGGGGAGTTGGCTGGGGGGAGGGAGAAATCGCTGCTCGGGAATTGACTGGGCATCGGTGGGTGAGTGGGGAGCAATTGCATTGTGCATCACTTGTTTTGTATATTCCAATTCTTTTGTTATTATTGTGGTCATATTATTGTTATTATCATAATCATCATTATTATTATTATTATTATTATTATTACGTTCTTCCTTTCTGTCCTATTAAACCCTTCTTATCTCAACCCACGAGTTTTACTTTTTTTTTCTGATTCTCTCCCCCATCCCACTGGGTGCGGGGAAGTGAGCAAGCAGCTGTGTGGTGCTTGGTTGCTGGCTGGGATTAAACCACAACGCTTTCAAATAAAAAAAATTTAAAAAAAAAATCACTGCATTACTATGTAACAGTACCCTAACATGTTCAAAAGCATTTTGACACCGAGCAGAAGAGTGCCTGTTGTTTTAAGACGACACCAATTCCCACATCTCTAAGCAACACAAAACCACCAGCCTGAATGCCGAACTAAGCTTTGTTCTGCATGAGCACATCTTTGACTCTACTTATTGAAAACATCACTGTATTCTGACACACAGTAGATGGGAGGAAAACAGAAGAAATTACAGTGTGATAATCTAGCTCCAATCCTACCCTAACAGACTTACGCTGCCCTGGAATATTTACTAACAGAAGGGAAATTTGTAGCACCAAAATAAAAATAAGATGTCAAGTGGATGAGCTTTGCACTACTCACTTGCAAGGTAGAGTGGGGTGATGGTACACACATTCATCTCCATTTTTACAGGCAGGCCAGTACTTGCAGCGCTCAAGCACCTTCTCCTGTTTTTGCAGCACATTTAACTGTTCCATGTCCACTAGGAAGGAAAGAAAAAAGAAAAAAAAACAAGCTGGGACCTTTATGATTCCATATGCAATTTGGCATACACAATACAGCACAACTGAAATTCACAATATTTCCTATTCTCTCTCTCCTTTTAACCCAGTTCTTGATAAGCCATTTATTAATCAAAGAAAGCCATGACAGCAAAAATTTATGTAAAATCATATTACCTGAAGAAAATTTCGAAAACTACAAAGTGAAAGAAGTCATAATATTGGACTGAGAGCTGCCTTTTGGTGACAAAAGATCAAACTTGTTACTGTTTAGAAGCAAAAGAAATTAATTTTCTTCACAAATCCAAATTGAGGTGTGAAAGTCAAACAGACCAGATCTTGATCAGACAAGACAAAGATTCTTCAACTGAACCTTAGTTACGACTGTTCTGCTGAGCCATGTGTTAATAATAGCTCTGCTTCCTTTCTCCAAGATATTTTTGGCTCCAGAAAATTTTTCAAGAGATAAAGTAAGAAATCAATTTTTACACTAATCAGATATGATTTATTAGTATGGGGGCACACAACAAAAAAGAACCACTTCTGTGTAATCAGCTCAAAAAGATACCAGATTCACTTCAGTTACCTGAACCCAGACTCCAATCCAGAAAGTATTTTAAGAAACTCCAAGCTGAAACATTCAATAACTTCACCACTCTTACATGAACCTGGGACTTTGACTTTCTCTTATTTAACATTATTTGTAAAACCTCATTCTGCAAATTCAGGCAATTAAGCATATACCTTCACTGTTGTCTTATTTTCCAAAATCTGCCTAAACCTTTGGCTTTTCAAAGCTTTCCAGGACTGCTGATAAACTATTCTTTATTTAGTTCAGAAAATTTAGGTGCTCTGCTACTATGGAAAATAAAGGTCTTTATTTTCATAAGAAAACTAAAAAGAAAAAGAAAAAAAAGAATCCAAGCATGACCTTAAGGCACATATTCAACAGGTCTATGACAAAACAATATCCTCTCTATTTTTGAACATCATGTCAGCATTCTAAACAATTCAAACATAGGCTTCAGCAAGCAATTTCCCATGTTATTCAAAAGGTATCCTGAATATACAAATCTTCAAGTCAAAATCATATACTGTTTAAGTTCTACTTTCAGAGATTCTAGCAACTTGACTCTACCAACACCTTATACTTAACAGGCTCCTTTTGATATCACAAATCTAGACAGAAGCATTAATACCACCTGACTTTTTTTTTTAAAGTTCAAGGCACAGCAAAATGTTCATCATAAAATCTCCTGCCCATCAGCATGGGGACAAATGATAATGGGTCAACCAGAAGTGCAGATTTCTGGCAATGAAGACAAACTACATATTCAAAAGAAAAACCCCAAATTTTACCAATGCTGAGATGTGTGGAGAATTACCTGTGTGCCGTATTGCTCTAGTTTACCAAGATAAAGGCTTCTAAAGATATGGCCCCACTGAACTACCACATTTCATTTGCCTGAAGAGTGTTCTAATTTGAAGAATAAATGCCATCACTTTGATTTCTTAAGAATGATATATCCAAGAGTTCTATCCACAATCAAACCACCACATTAATGTTAGATCCTGTTGGTAAGCATAATTACCATCACAGCCCTCTAGCTGCCTGGTTACAATTTGCATCTGCTGTGCCCGAAGGCCTTTTAATCCTTTGCCGGCACACATATTTTGGATAACTGGCTTTAATCCTTCAGTTATACACATATCTTCCTCTTCTTGATCAGAAAGGTATCCCGGTGGACTGGGCACACCATCCAGAGTCACGATGAACTTGGGACTAGCAGGTTTCTCTGGCTGTGCAAGCTGGTCTCTATCAAACAAAGAAATGTAGTAAAAATAGATTTTCTGACTCAAGAGGTTTGAGTAAAAATGAGCTGCACTAGTAACTAAAAGTAGTGCAAGCTAATCTATGGAGAGTCACGCAGTAACAAACCTTAATACTACTAATAATGTACTCCAGTTAAGTTTGCCTTCTAGTCTCCCTGAAGCACTAACAAGAAATACAGCTTTCAATGGCATACAGCAGAGAATTTGGCAGGTACATTTCAGTTTGTTGCATTCTGGTCAACAGACAGATCCGAAAGCTCATTTACAGACACAGTTAAATAAAGGAAAGTGATTAATCTTTTGAGGAATTTACAGTTTTGAGACAAAAAAAGTCAACATAAATAAAATTCTTGGAATCACGAACCTTTTAACACACAGAACAGGTGTCTCCTCAAAAATACTGAGCAGCACATTATGAAACAGTGGGTGTAAAAGCCTTTAGGGCTAGGAAGAGAGAATTGAAATACTGACACCAAGAACTTTGATGCTCAGCCTGATCGAAAGATCAGTCTAGCGTAGTATCCTGCATCTGACAGTAGTCAACGTGGATAAAAGAGGGAGTATAAAAACAGGGGGTGCATACATTTTCTCCAATCTGCCACCGTCTCACCCATTTCACCCAAGGGATTTCCTGAACAGCTTGTGATTCTAAATATTTGGAAAGACACTATGGCTTTGTCATCTTTGACAAGCAGTGATGGTATAAACTCTGCTTCTCTGTGAAATTAGGCTAAAAGCAACTACAGTGTGAAATGCCTTTAAGAAGAGAGAAAAACAACACATTAAAAACATCACTAGCCAGAACTTTCAGGTTCAAGGAGTCAGAAATTGACCTATTCACATGCAGAAATTTACCACTCTCCTGTAGCACAGTCACAGTTTTCAACTGTGGCATTGTGAGGTTATCCTTTTGGGTTTGTTTGTTCATTGTTGGTTTTATTTTTAATTAACACCGGTTGTTTAAAGCCACTCAAAGAAAGGAAATATTAGCAGTTTCTCAAACACAGCGGCCCGCAGTGATGAAGTACATCACATTGTTGGGTGGTTTTTAACTCTAACGGGTAAGATACATAAAACTATTTGGTAGCAGGAACTATCAAGGCCTTTAACAAGTTAAAAAATGACTGTACACTGGCCATTGTTCGTTTGGGGAAATGAAAAAACATCCACAACACATCATTTGAAGCTGACATGAACTTTAAACTTCTCTTGGCCAAACTCACCAGTAAGGAGCTTTAAATGACTTGTCCCACATGCCACTTAACTGTTTGTTGGCTTACAGGCACTGAGCTACCTGCATGCAGAATGTGCTGTTTTCCTTCTAGCACTGAGAGCTCAGGATCCACCATACTCAATATTGCGTTAAAAGACATTTCTTAAGATATTGTAATCTCAGGGTGAAACAGATGTAAAACTAAAGGCAATTTAAGCAAAATTATTACTTAACTAAGATTTCAGAAATCAGAACAGCTATGACAAAAAGAACAGTACTTTTCAGTTCCTTCTTCATCTTTCTTGCAAATCAAAGACATGCTCAAGCTACAGTTTGGAAATTATCTTCCATTTAGAAGGATTTCTGGCAGGTTTTTTTGTCCCTGCTTTTTTTCCTCTGCTATTCAATGTCAGTCCATTTTCCATGATGTCACAGATCCTGACTGGACTGACAAAGCACAAGTACAACTGAATGATTCCATCTACATCACAAACAAGCATTCTGACTAGTAACAGTCCTAAAAGTAATAACTTTTTACCGTGTCTGTATTAGACGTCCTGAGAGTACTCGTATTGCCTCTGTAGCCCTCTTTCCCAATTGCTGATTCTGCAGCACTATTTCCTCAGATAATTTGGGCTTCTTCAGGATAAATGACCTAGTATCTGTATGGACCATAGATTCTGCATCATAGTAATCTGAATTGGGAGAAAAATACATAGAAGAGAAAAATAAGGTTGTACTCTTAACTTATAGCACACTTTTTAATATCAATTTACATTGCTGATAAGCTGATTTTATTTTGTTTTCATTTCTAACTAGTAGCTTCCAAAAACATTTTTACTTCCTTGCTTATTCCACAGAAGTGTATCAGCAGGAGCCACAGGCCATATTAGGCCAGACCAGGAAGCTTCTGTTACTGTAACGGCTGTGCTGAAACAGCATTGAAGGGGGTCCACATACCCCCAAAATCTCTTACACTTTGAACACCTAGTGACATTACACTTTTATTCCTTAGAGATGTAGAAACTAGAAAACATTAGAAATCAGTATAATTAATTGAAAAGCAAGTTTTATTTTAACATTCACTGACCAGTAGTGTTCAATTTGAAAACCAGCAATTTTTATTTAGGAATAGAAGAACACAAGACTTAACCTTGAGTCACTTGCAAGGTATCTTCAATCACAGGATCAATCTGGAGCCGGGAAGAGAGCTCCTTTTGTTCAGCTCCTAAAAAAACCCAGTAATTAGAAGCATGTCAAAATGAAACTATAGATTAAAGACCCGAAGCATACTCTTCTAATGCCTCTGATTAAAAAACAAAACAAAACAAAACAACCCAAAAAGAAGCCATTCTCATTGTTATGAACCCCTTTCTCATTGTTTCAGAAACAGTAACAAGTTTTCTCCAGCCAGATGGCATGGCAAAATCTAAATACTGAAAGACTCTAGTCCTTCCCATAATCATTGCTCAGTGCAAATTAGGTCTGTGGGTACAGCAACTTATAAAGACCAAGTTCTTCCTCCTCATTTGTAGAGGTGTTGACTATTCAGAGAACACACACACAGGAAAGCAGCTAACTACAAGGGACTACTTTATAGTCTTCTTAAAAGAGGCGAAACAAATCAGAGTAGCACTGTTCTACATTTAACTTATGTTTTGAAAAAATTGTATTTGCTTTCTGTAGGTTTCCTAAGCAAGCTGTCATTTCCATTTCAATGGCAAAAGCAAAAATACTTAGCATAAATATTTTCTGTACATTAACTCAAAGACTGATAAAGCTTCTTACGTACTTTACAGATACAATTCCAACTATTTTATGTTGGCAGAAATATTCCAAATACATCTGTATGAGAAATAAGAGACTGAAAAAAATATGTTTTTTTTTTTAATAACGAATGTGTACCATTCCTTAACAATGACTGTGAGCTGATGTAACAAAGATCCTACTCAAACCAAATTTTACTCACCAAACTAAATATCTGAACACTTAGCAAGAGTAAACTAACTTCTTCTTACAGAAGTGTTTTTCCACTTATTTCTATGATTCCTTGTAGCTGCCATGCACACACACACACACACATACACTTTTTTGTAACAAAATCACATTGAAAAGATACTTTGATTGCCTTTATATGTTATGCCATTTTCCTCTGGGAGTTTCATAACAGAAGTAAAAACAAAGCTTACTGTTCACACAGTTATACTGGTATCAACTGTCCTGTAACAGCAAATACAGTACTCCAATATTTACACAAAAAAATAAAACATTTAAACTATCTGTGTGGTAACAACATGTCAGAAAGAATCGTTTAATACTTCATATGCTGCAAATGTAAAGTATCTTAACTCTCTCACATAAGCTTTATGACAGAATTACTCCTACAAGATATTAAGGAAAAAAATGCAAAGGATGGGGAAAAGAGACGTTATCCCAATATAAATGATATATTTGCTTACTGCATTTGCTTATGCAAAATTATTCTTCAGTGATATGCCTGAATGCTTTACCACCTTTCCTTACTGATTAATTTCTCTGAGGTTGTGTGTGTGTGTATTAAAAATTAAAAGCATTTCTTTTCTTTGCTCAGCCTGTTGTAAAATGACATTCCCTGGTATAAATTTTTAAAAACATTATCAGATGACCTTGAATTCCTTCAACTGTCTGCTCCTTTGGCTCTTCTACTTGAAGCTGAGAACTCAGAGCAGGCAGTCTGTTTTGCACATGGATTACTTCTAACTGGGATTCTTCTGGGCTAATTCGAGTTCTTGGTGCAACTGGAACAGTCTGTTTCTGTGGAACTTTAAAGAGACAATGGTAAAACATTTGCATATAACCCAATCACACAACAATATTATTTTTACATATAGTACTAAAATAACTCTCAAATTCCTACACACACACACACATAAAATCCCAAGGATCTGCCTCCACAAAAATCATCTTCAGCTACCTGCAAAATTCTTAGTGTGAAAGCACATTCGTGCATGTGCATAGAGCACTCTGTGAGTGGCACCTCTACTTGTAAGACAAAACAGCATGAGAAGAATTAGAGAGACATCAGCAAAGTATTCATTCATCTACTTCTACACATAATTAATTTGGTACTTTCTTATGGTATTGAAATCACTTTTCATTCCACCTTTCATATAAATAATCACAGATTATCAATGTGTACTTTTCATACCGTGCCAGCTACCCTATGCTAAGGTGCTTGCAAATAGAATATAAAACTCAATGACAGCAGAATCACAGAATCATAGAATCCCTTAGGCTGGAAAAGGCCTTTAAGATCATTGAGTCCAAAACCTAACACTGCCAAGCCCACCACTAAACCACATCCCTAAGCACCACACCTACACATCTTTTAAATACCTCCACGGATGGTGACTCCACCACTTCCCTGGGCAGCCTGTTCCAATGCTTGACAACCTTTTCAGTGAAGAAATTTTTCCTAATATCCAATCTAAACCTGCCCTGGTGCAACTTGAGGCCTTTTCGTCTCATCCTATTGCTTGTTACTTGGGAAAAGAGACCAACACCCACCTCACTACAACCTCCTTTCAGGTACTTGTAGGCCTCTTTTCAGGTAGTTGTAGCATGAAATTTGGGGATAGCAGGACAACAGGTTGACTTCTTTACTTGCCTTCTGCTAAGACTGTCAGAATTGGTTGTGAAAAGCTAAGCATATTCTTCCGTTGGCTGCGTATCACATCAGCACTCAACTTCTGACACATACAACTAAAAAGGTACCATACAGTACTGGATTTGTCATTTGCGATCTTACCATTTTGTTTTACCTATGTATTTCGAACTAGCTTATTACCACATTTCATTCAAAGTACTTAAAAAATACATGAAATACTACCTCTGAAGTGGAAGAGCCTGCATGATACTTCAGATAAAATTCACAAATCACGCCTGTATTACGCCACAAAGTGGTGCTTTTTGGTCTCTCCACTGAAATATTCTCATGTTGGTAAGCCAAACTACAAGATCACCACTATTAAAAATCAATAGTTTTAACTGATTTTAAAGTTTTCTGGCTATGTTCTATTTCCCTCCATATTACAGGAAAGAGCTTCCTGCATCACCCTGAAGCACTGTTCCCTGCGTTGCTGCTCTTTCCACCATAAACACTCCTTGCGGGATAACTGGCATCAGAACTTAGGAGCATCAGTGCTCCTATCTCTTAAACTGCTCATTCTGCCTACCATCTAGAATGAAGACAAGCTCTTAATGCTTGGGAAGCACTTACATTATTTGCTATTAATGAAGAAGCATAATTTTCCTTTAGAAGTTCATTTACTGTATGAAATATATTTTGTAAGTAGTCAAGCAATTCAATAGTTTACTAGAACTATTCTAACTTAATTTTTCTTCAATTCCAAGTTTGGCAATGACCTTTATTAGTCATCCATACAATTCATTCTGTTTTAAAACAAGCTCACTCTCTATCCCACTTCTAATATGCATAGACATCTCCAATTCAAGAGCCTTTGAACACAGAAAACTCCATACTCATCTCATGACTTTAGATCTACTTATCAGCACCTGCGCAACCTTGAAAATACAACAATAAGAAAACAGGGAAGAAGTTCACAATGACCATTTTGTAAATGTTAATGTAGAAGGAAGATACGTGTTTCTTAGTTAGGTTGCAGGTTTTGAGAGCAGGCAAGAGATTTTGGATAGCTTTCAGTCTTGCTCCAGATGGGATAAAAGTCATTACTTAGGTTGTATAGTGAATGCTTCTTCCCATGCAATGTGCAATGCTTCCTGCTGACAACACTAGATTTATTACCACACAATTAAATGAAAGAACATGAGATAACAGCTGGATTTGCCCTTCTTCAGCAGAAGTCTCTCCTAGCTAGGAGAACTCAATTCTTCCATACAGGCAACTGCTCAGTATCTGTATCAACTCAACTCAATACCTAAAACCACTGAACTAAAAATGCAGCCTCACTGTTTAAAGACAATATATGCTGATATATCAAGCAGTATGTTGCTTGTTATTTTGCACTTCTATTACCTATATCCAGTGCATTTTGATTTTTTGCTGTTGGCCTTTTTTCTCCTCCTCTCTCAGAAGGAAGGAAGAGAGTGCAGAAAGGGAAAAAAGAGCAACCAATTAGATCAAACAACCTGCCTAATACTGAACACTTTCTCCTTGGCAACTATTAACTTCAGAAAACTTCTGGCACTTCCATTTTGTCTCTATAAACTTTACAGACTTACTAGCTTGAACTCTCTCCTCTCTTGTTTATGCTTTCACAATTCATCATTGAAGATCAATGTAATGTTCCCAGGACTTAGAAAATCCCTTATGTGTATCACTGACATGAGCTATTTAACATTCTCTTTTATCTCTAAGCACTATCTTTAGCTTGGATTGATAAAACAGGGCTTAGAAGTATTACTGCTTAGCACAAACAAAAATAATGCTAATTACCAGTGGAATAATTGGTTGTTTTTGTAACTGACTCCTGTGCTTCAGAGATTGCTTTTAGTATTAGATTCTTATTGGCCTGTTTTGAAGGTGGCAATGAAGGTCTAAGGAAGATAGAAAAAATAATTAATTGTACATGAATTGCAACAGCAACTGCATCCTTATTAAACAGATATTTCAACAGGTTAACACAGTTATGCATAATACTGATAGAAAAAATAATCATCTAAAATCACTTCATCTATATTTGTTTTCAGCTTGTTCATCTGTTCTGAGTGGGTGGGGATCCACAAAATGCTTTCAAAAATGGAAGTCCAGAGGCATGATTTCACCTCTCAGTTTAAGTTGCTGTAAAACCATGCTGCATCTGAAAGGCACAAACTGTGCCATTCCTTTCCTCCCACCTCTGCCCCTCATTTGTTGCTACATTTGTGTTGACACTAGTAATTATCCAGCTGCCCCAGGGAGTAAGATCCAGCTGAAAACTGACTCTATCAAAAACACCTCAGTTGTAAAAAAAGTTTCTGTTTGTCTTTGAACATCAACAATAAGGAAGTTTAAATCAGATAAATGTGCTGTGGCACTGAAGATAATTTCAATAAAGTGTGTTAGCTTAAAACAAATCTTATAGAAACTAGCACTGCAGATCAGCAGAACCATCTCTTCCATAGTTTGCATGTTCTTCCTTTCATTGTTGAAAATCAGATACAAACCACCGATGTACTCTGACCGACACCTGACATTCAGACAGAATTAGGGAGCAGAAAAAAAGGAAAAACCTCTCAAGTCTTTTGAAATGTTAAAACCACCTTAAAGAACAAGTGATAATTGGTTTGAAAACTATTCCCAAAGTAAAAACAAAGCAATTAAAACTCCTGGAAAATTATTTCACCACATCAAATACCTGGTCTGAAACATGCCAACATTTATGTTCTTTTGCCAGATAGTGTAAAATTTCACATTCCATTGCAGCTTATGCACAATAATAAAAACAGGTTACAAAATCAGAGGAAAAAAAGTCATATAAACAGACATCTCACCCACAGAGTTGTGAGACAGACAAAATTCAGTGAGCCTTTTTTTTTTTTTTTACTGTCAATTTTCAAAACTGCAAACAGTTTTCCCTAACTTCCACTTTCAAAGTTTTTGTTCATTAAATTCATTCTGGAAACTACACAGAATCACTGAGATTTTAAAGTACCTTCTTTCTGGCTTTGCAGGTACAGATACACTGCTGGAGATACTTCCTGTTCGCAATCCATAGTCTTCCTCCTCCTCCTCATCTTCCCCATCATTACAGAACTTTTTCACTTTGACTACTGAGCTTACAACAGGCAACCGTCTCTTCCTGGAGCTTTCTTCCTACAATACAGCAGCCAAAACAACTCATTTAGCATAAAACATGTATTAATAAGCCAGCAAAGAAAATACTGCAATTCTACCTAGAGCCAGAAGATGGAGAACTTCCATTCCAGTCGCTTGAGTCTAGGGACTACTGTACTGTCTGCAGAAACAAGTGACAGAACTGGAGAACATGAAAATCAGACATATTTACATTGAAACATTTCATTAAAAATGTAACTGTAAATAACATTTAGAAATGGAGAAGAAAAAAAATCTAAGGTACAGACAATTTATCCAACACCTACAGAAAAAGTGTTTTCCGAAGAAATTCATACTACCTTTCAAGATGCACGTGTTGAAAGTCTGATACAGAAAAGTGAAATTAGAATGAATTACTTTCCCCTCTGCATCAACTCTAATTTCAGATTAGTGTAAGGATTAATTTCTAGCAAGCTGACGTATTCCAAAGAACACTAATAGCTATGCAGAGCCAGGATGTTCCAGTTCAGGCAGTGGAAGGTGTCTGTTCTGACACAGCCACTCACCACCACAGTACATGTGGCAGCGACAAATTTAAATGCTAGGCTGCATGAAAGCATAGGAGAAAGCACACATCAATAATTTCTGTAGGAACCACCACTCAGCACTGAACTACACAGGAGCACAATGAGGCACCTGGATGCCAGGTTTGTACACAGGACCCTTTAAACGATCCTATATCCTCCAAGGAGAAAGAAATATCCTAGAAGATGGACCTGGACTACACTGTTACAGAAGATTCATACAGTAAGAAAACCAATACCTAAAGAAATGATCTTTTTAAACTTAAAACTTCCCAAAGCACAAGAACTTTTCTAAGAAAAGGCAGAATACAGCAGAAGTCCACAGTTCCAAGAAATGCTCCTGAAATAGCCCTCTTCTGGACATTATTCATGAAAGAGTAATAGAAGAAAATTATCACAAGACTTCAACATTTCCAAGGAGAGATGTGACTGTCATCCATCAATGGCTTATGTACAGCCTTAAACAAATCACTATATTCTCATTCTCACTTCCCCATCTTAAAAAACAAAGACATCAGCACATGTCTTTGTAAAGCATTCTAGATTTCTGATTAAAATTCACTGTCCTTTATACAGCATTAGGTAAGTAGTAGCAAAGACAGAGAACTATATAAGCAGTAACAAACACAGACGCACTTGGAATACAAGGTATGTAAAATTCCTGCTTCGTTACGTTAACAGGCATAACAATCTTCATTCCTCTCACAAGGGGCTCTTAACTGCTTCATATGGATAGTCTTAAAACTATCAGCTAGGACGATCACGCTGCCTGGCTTAGTCCGGCCTCCAAAGTATGTAGGGCAGCAATCACCTTTTAGCTTGTCCTTGTACAACACCCATCCCAAAGACTTCTTAAAGGCCGTGGTTCCAAAGAGTATAATAATAATAATAATCCAAATAAGCAACATATCTGCGCTTTAGAGACCAATGTATATCTAGCGTAGGTATGAATAAACAGCATCCCAAAAATACTGATTTACGGAACTGTGTAAAGCTGGAGATTTACATAGCACTTACAGAAGATTATGCTGTTCCAATGATCTAGAGATCAAAATTATTATTTCTGATTCATCACGTGCATCATGATGTGCTAACTCATTAGTCCAACCCAATATGGCATGAAGATGTACAAGCTAATTAACTCTGAGATGCAGCAACCTGTCAGGTGATGATGTTAAGCTATGCAATCTCTTTTTATCAGTGGACCCAAAGAATGAAATCCCAAACCTACTGGTATCAGTGACAGAAGTCTTTCAATTTCTCTGAGGTCAAGATTTTACTGGAAGTGTACAAAGTCATTTAGGTTCCTAGCAAGTGTAAAATATTGCAATAGTTTAGATCGTACTAACCTCACTGCCTACTTTATCGGCACTAAGTTTGGAAGTGGGTCTGTAACTTTCTGCTAAGCTGCCAAATGCTTCTGGATTGCACAACTGGCCTGTTTCCAAAGACCTGCAGCTTTGTGTGTCTAACTGCCAGCTCCCCTGTAAGTTGCTCTGTTGCGACAATCTGTGCACATGTATATTGCCATCTGCACTCCTGCTAGCTGGTGGTCGGTATATTTCAGCAGAAGGACGAGAAGAACCGTAAGTTACAGTTACAATAGGTTTCTTCCGCGACAAAGGATTCTCCTGCACGAAGTTTAGGTCTTCATCAATTAGATCATCTGGTTCAGGTTTAATGTCAATTACAGCTTCAGAAGGTGACAATTCCCTCAAAGGCTTGACTGTAGATGTTAAGCGGGACGCAGGACCATCTTCACAAGACTGCCTGATAAAATAAGAAATTACCAACTATTAACTCATCTGAAAATAAAGTTCTGGAAAATGAGAACTGTCTTTTAAACAAAGCCAGCAGGGAAGAATCATTAAGGTATTGCTGTCTATACAAATCTAACACACTGATCACTATTTTTAGTTTGGTTAATTAATCTAAGCCCATCTGTTACTTAAAGAAATGGAACTAAATTCCTGATTTAATTTTTTATGCAACAAATTGTAGCAATGCTTTACTGTTCAAAACTACTTTGATCTTTCCAAGTATCCCTGCTCTTCAGAATGGCTACTACAGTCACACAACTACTAATGTCTGAACATGTGTTAGTAAGTAACCAGAAGCATTACCGTGAAGCGGTGTTCTTTTGTTCCTGTGAGCTAGTTGAAACTCTTGAGTCATTCCTTTCAGTCCGAGTGCTGGAAACTGCAAGAGGTGGCAAGACATCCTCACGCCTCCTCTCATCACTCACACATGAACTGCTTTTGCTGGAAGGAAGGTTGCTCTCAAAGATATTAGATTCTGAAGATTTTACACTAGTTGGTTCTGTGGAGACAGGTACCTTTAATTTTTACATCAAAGCACAGCAATACAGATTTTGCAGTAAATGCAACTAAGAAAATGCAAACAAGACATTGCACAGATCTGAAAACACAACAAGCTGAAAGCTGTTTCAGCTGAAAAGATCAGCAACAAAACACCCAGAAATAAATTCTGGACTTAGAAATAAATTCTTTATCTCAAAATATTAAGCAATTTCCTAAAGAGTCAGGACCCATAAATTGAAAATTAACAAAACAGTCAGCTCAGATCTTTTTTGAAGCTCATTAGACATGCAACACTACACAGAAAAGATAAACGTACTTTCACTCAAAATTAATCTTCTTACTTACCAGTAGTCACAGATCGCAGCTTATCCAAAACACCATGGAGCCTGAAATAGATGGGGGACAGGGAAGGAAGCAAAAGAGAAAAAGGAGAAATAAAAGAACTTTAACTTACATTCAGAATAATCATCTTTCAGAAACCAGCTGCCTTTCCCCCGCTACAAGCATCTCATTTATCTAAGACTTCACTTCCCATCAACTGCTGTATGTTTAACCTCAGAAGGGAGGCTTTAAGTATCTTGCCTCCAGTGACTCTTCATACATGCAGGTAGGGTATTCATCACATCATTTATTCTTGGCATTTAGTTGGTTTACATAATTAAAGCCAGTACTTTCCACTCTTTCACTACAATCTATGGTGTGAGTTAAATGTCTTCAAAAGGAGTGATTCAAAAAACCTGAGTTAGAAGTCTAAAGTATAGCTGAAAATTTTACTTCCTGTATGAAACTTTAATTACACAGCAGAGTTAAACATAATTCTAAATACAAATGTAAACAATATACAACTTGCAGCACTGAATGTACTCAGAATTCTTTCAGCATGCTTTGTATATACCAACAATATTCTTTTGGATGCATTGGTGAGCAAAAACATCTCAGCAAAGTAACGAATTTGCCGTTTGCCTGTGAAAAAGGCACCAAGCTGAAGCAATACAGAGTATCAAAAAACTACAAAATAATAAGGCTATTTAAAAATAAATACACATTACAGTGAGAAGAAAGAGGAGGAAAAAAAAAAGAAAAAAATCCCAACACTTAAATGCACATCCTACTTGGAATTCAAACCTGATCATGGGCATCTCCATAATTTAGACTGAGTATTAAAAAGGAGTTAAGGAACAAAAACATATTGAAAACTAGGAAAAGTAAGACTGCATGTGAGTATAAGGAAGGCTTATACTCATCTCCTTGTGAGTTTTTACTAGAACACTCTTAAAATTCGTCAGCTGAACTCTGCTGATGCATGTAAGTTTTCACACTGACCTCTGGATAACTGTGACCTGACACTCGGTTCAGAGTAAGAAGTGTTGGCCAACCAGCAGGATTGCCAGGTCTGCCACAGAATTGCTGTGAAACTTTTGCCAGATGACCCCTAATTACCAGCTACAGAGACAAACCAAGGAAGGCAGACCTTGTTGAGTATTGTATTTAGCCAGAGACCCAATGTTTAAGAATGTAAACATTCTGGGTCGCCTTTAGAAGAAATAAAAGCATATAAAACTCCCAACTACAATGCTATTTAACTTTTTTCCACGAGTCCTCTTACAGCTTATTGCATAGGTTTCATCATGTCTTCTTTTCCACGATTCTTTTAACCAATACCTACTTTGTTACCTGACAAGGCACTCTGACACTGATTTTGTATTTATAAGCAAATGTGGATACTGAATTGAGATTAAAAGACTCATTACATTTAGAATTTAAACAGGTGTCAAAACCAGCAGGAGGTATAATATCTACATATAGTTGATATCCAGTTCTAAATATATATTAAAAAAAAAATCTTGATCTCTCTTCCCTGCTGAAATTTGCTTTCTCTAAATATTTATTATTTCTTTCAGTAAAGTTTTAGTTTCATTTACAAAGCCATAAAAGTGTTTTCTGCTACATATTATTGCATTATTTCTGTGTATCAGGATTCAGTCAAAACCGTAGTACTGGAGTTAACCTCACCAACTTGTAAACCTCACTAATTTGTCTAACTGATTCCCAAAACTACTATGAGAAATACAACTGCATGACTTACTGATACAGTGAAACCCAAACATTTTGCCTAGGCAGGCCACAAGAGGGAACAAAGAACATAAATACCTTTTTTAAAAAAGGGGTGCATGCTTAATTGCACTCCTTTCTTGTATTTTTGACAAATGCAGGTAAAAAATTGAAAATTTTGAAAGCAAACTCAAATTATATCCATACAAGTAACAGTCACATGGAAATACATCAGTTTAAATAGTTAATACAGTGAATTGCAATAGGTGGAACTAATTTTCACTTTTTGTCAATGTTTATGGTTTCATAAATACCCAACTTCTAAAATGTTTCTCTCTGCTATTTAACAGCATAAAAGCTCCTAACCAAACGAAGGGGAACTTGACTAATCACACAGAAGAAATACTGGAAGTGACTGTAATCAGTCAGTATGAAAATTTCAAAGGAAGCAAACTGAAAAAGCAGAAAAAATGTAGTATTTCTCCAATCTATACAAAACAAAATAACGTTCCTTAAAACTATATTACGTTAGAGACTCAGAAATAAGATTAACTTGAAAAAATACATAACTCTGAAAGCAAGAAAAATCTCTGGACTCAAACATTTGTTTGGACACTCTGAAACATGGAGTTAATTAAAAGGTTTATAAGCCAAATTCAGTATTAGAAAATGCATGAGAAATATAATGGCTAAGGCTGTCATGCAGCATAGCATAAATTAATCCACACTGTCGGAAGTTTAGAAAGAGTTAATCTGTTGCTAATTTGTCCTGCTCACAATAATTCTGGGGTTCTACTTTTGTTTTGTACAGCTGCGTGGGGGTAATAAATAAACAGGCTGAGGTGGGAATACCTAAGCATTTGGTGCTAAGCCTTGTCAGAGACTGTACACAGAATTAGATCCACTGCTCATCTGTCCTGATATAGTAATTCCCATGCACAACAGCAATCTGAAGCACTATTAGCATAAAGGCAAAGAAGTTTGTCTTTGAAGAACTATTTTACATCTAACTACAGTGAATAACACTCTCATGCTCACAGTAGGCTTTGCAGAAATAATTTTTTTTAAGTCAACATATGGCCCTCACTTACCTGAGCATTTCACACTTCACTCAGAAATTTGACTAGACTTACGAGCAAACAAAAAACGTAAGCCCTCCAGTCCTTTGCCACTTACTTATCACTGCAATAGCCTAACTGTTGACAGACTAAAAATAATTTACTTGTTAGACCTGCAAAGTAAAAGTTTTGATTAATGTAAATTACACAATGGGAAAATAAGTAACTTCTTAAATTCTCCGGTTTCACTTATAGAAAGCAGTCCTGATTACTGATAAGAAGTGTGACAAGCAGCTTACAAACATACCAGACAGTAAACCTGACAGTATTGTTTCCAAGGAAAAGGGAAAGGTCTTCTGTCATCTGCTCCTGACTCTTCTTATTGGCCACCATAACCATAATATAATCAGGGAGCTCTTCATCTAACAGAAAGAGAAATATGTTGTTTTAAAGTATAATAAATCATAAAAGACATGGCAAACATCCTTAAACATGTAACTAGAATTTGTTTTCCTGTTCTACTATAAAGGCTCTGCAGGCAGAGGATTAGGTAAGCAAATTAACAAGATTTTCATTTCCTCTGATGTACAATACAAGTTTCAGCAATGAGTGAGGAATAAAAGATTGCAACTTCACAAGAGCATAAGCTGAAGATAAGATCAAAGTATTTAAAAAGTGAGTAAATAAAACACAAAAAGGACATGATAAAAGAAAGCCACTCTGCTGCCTATATCCTTTTACTTGAATACTAACAACCATCTACAATTTTCATCACTTCAAATATTGCCAAATATAGCACCTTATCCTTGTCAAATTTCCTTTAGTTACAAAGACCAAACAGATAAATATCCCTTTCTGATTTGTGCATTAAACAAGTCAAAACTGTATTAACTTCCAGATTTTCCGTCTAAAAACCAAACCAAAACAAAACAAAAGAACAGCAACCCTGAGAGTCTGATTCTTTTAACTCCCTAACTTATGCAATTTCATACACAGTGAGAAATGCATTCCCTTGCTGGACCGCTCAACACAGGTTACGCCTACTCATCAGAATGGACAGGAAGGTGCTCAGATTCTGACATTAATACATTAAGGGTTTGGGGAGTTTGGTATTCGGCTTTTTACTTTGGCTTAGCTCTGATCTACGCTGAAGGACTGAATGGTGCATTTGTTGCTCGAGGGCATTAGGTATGCTTCTTAGGCACATATTTCAATATAGTCAGTTTAATCTAATGCCTCATGCTCTCCATTACCACTCCATGACATACACATAACAACAGTAAGTGAAGATAGTTGGGAAAACCGCTTCAAATTGTGAATTTGAACCAGGGCACTAACATAGCTGTACTCATTTCATCAAGTTAAGTCTGTACAGAACATTAAAAAGACCTAAAAAATGAAAAATCTTAAACAGAAATCAAAATACAAATCAAAGGTATCTCCTTTCTTCTATGTCTTGCAAATAATTCATCTGTACCTTAGACTACAGAAATAACATTCATATATTGCACCTGCACTCCACCATCACTATTCAAGTGTTCCAACATAACACATTCCTAGCCTAAATAAACCCTAGGGGTTTTTTGGTGGTTGTTTGGTTTTTTTTTTAATATAAACTGCAAGTTGCACAGGATGGATGGATACCCACATCTAGGAACTTAGAATGAATTATTTTTTTTTGGCCAAGCTACTTTTAAACCTGATCAGCTCCTCAGGTGGTTCAACATATGATAAAGTAAAGAAGATGATACTTTAAGTATAGATCAAAACATAAGTTAGCACAATTACGTGTAGCAGTACAATAAGAGCAACAAAGAAAGAAACAAACCCTTCTCTCAGTGACTATGTTGGTTTATGCCAACTTAAATTGTATGCAAAACTACAGCCTTTTGAAAATTTTGATAGTCAATGACTATTCGACTACCTTTATTTTCCTTCACAGATATGAATTTTTCCTTTGTTAAGTTCTACACAACAAATAAGCTTCAATATGTCTTGTAGAAGACATTTCAAAAGATAAGAACTAGCAGTTACAGAATGAAACAAAAGCATGGTTGTTGCTCACAGAGGCTAGAATGAGGGAGAACCGATTTTTACCAGTTACCTGAAAGAAACAGAGAGTCTTTGAAAAACATTACTTGAAAAGTTGTCCAAAATACTCTAGTCAAGGAGAGAAACCTGACAAGTGACAGAAATATGGAAACAGTGGCCTAAAAACAAAAAAAAGAGGCCAAGGGAAGTCAGACTTGGTGATAAAGAATACAAAGTTATTTAAATAAGTTCAGCAGCTGACTAAGAAGTGCAGACATTATATGCTGGTCTTGGGAACTGCCTTCTGAATACAGGAAACAGAAAGACAAGAAAAACAGAGAAAGAATAATCAGCCATAGTTGGAATCAAAGAATTCTAGTATTTTATTACCATCTTGGTATTAGAGAAAAGAACGATTTTTTTCAGAAATGCAGGAAAAAGCAAACAAAAAATCAAGGACTGAGAAACTTGAAACCTGGAATGACAGTAAAAAAAACCAAAAATGAGTTGCTGAAGAAGACAACTTTTGAGATGGTGAAAAAAGACACCCTTATAATGAAAAAATTCTAATCACGGTTCCTTGGCACCTGCTGAGTTCAGAACATCAGCTCGTAGGTAACTCCCTTCTACGGAGTCAATACATTTTGATTCCATAAATACAGTGGCCCCTTTAAATAGGAAATAAGATGAATTCAAGATCAAACTACAAACTTTGAACTTGGTCCTGCAACTCATGGGATCTCTGAACTATGCTCTCAATTCCTTCACCTGAAATCCAAGTATCACAGACAACAAGGCAGTTGCAGGACTGAGGTATTCTGCTTCCAACAGAACACTGTGTTAAGTTACTAACTTTTACTGTTGTAAAAATCAGCTGCTCTTAAGTGCAATATCCATTTAACCCTGGATTCAGGAAAAAAAAAAAAACAAAAACCACAAAAAACCAGACATTCACACTGCTCATCACTCTCCCTCCTTGCAATCCAAAATAAAATCCCACCCTGCCTCTAAGATTCAGTTACATATGTTTCATCAACATTTGCTTAATGTGGCTCTTAGTTTTCCCCTTAACAGTCAAGCTCTTACATTTTGCATATTTGTCCTACGTGTTTCTGACATTGCCTTTCCACCTCCTAAAACAGCTTATCTCTGTCTTACAGTAATATCCTTTCACCTGATTTTGACAAATGTCTCACCCTGAATTCAAAAGGCTCTTGAAAAGATGCCTAAGACCGACTCCATCTCAGAGGGGTCACAGGTAACTGCTGCTGTATTTGCAAGGATCTTGCTTTATATAATGCTTCTCTTTGTGCTTCAGAGAAACTTCCTTAAATATTCACAGACCCATTGTTTGTTTTTCTTTCAAATCCCTTGCCACCATTTCTCCTTGAAAGGGGAGATGGTTAGCCTTCTTAGTTATTTCCTTTTAGTTCTTCATACACTGATGTCCACATACTGCCTCCTCTTACACTTTGACTATACATATTTTATGAAGTAAGTCTTTTTCTTTCATACTAGTCCAGCACTTCAGATAACTCATCTCATGCTTAAGGCTTCTGTATGGAGTAACACAAGTAATAACAAGTAAATAGGCTGTTTCATTAACTAGCTGGTTGTCTGCTACCTAACAACGAGCCTAGAGAAGATTGCTAAACACACAATAACACTTACCAACATAAGCCCCCAGCTCCTGCAACTTTCCTTTTATAGCACCCTAAAAAATAATGAAATAGCATTTAAGGGATGGAGCAACACAGTACTTCTAACTGCAAAAAAGGTGGGAGGCTTAGCAAAGTTTGTCCAATTAACTGTTTGACCAGGTTGGTTTAACATGCTATTTTTCCTATCCTCCACTGCTTGTGAGATGAACGTTGTAACAGCGAGGGACTGACAGCAGAATAGCAAGAACTACCAGGAATCTCACGCTCTCTACTGTATTTCCTATATACCAGTTCCTGGTGCTACCAGACAACCTCCAGGTCCCAGCTGTCCTTTTTTTAAGCAGAGACCACCCGGGCTCATAAGGTGCGAAGAAAACGAATCCCGGATGGTTTGATAAAAGGTCATTCCCTGCTCAGCAAGAAAAAACCAAACCTGCCAGGATTTTCAAGCTGTGGTTGCTGAGTGGGAGCAGCTGACAAGACCTGACGGTAACGGCGGCTTACACCAGAACGCCCGGCTGCGGCTGCTCCCTCTCCCGCGCGGCCCCCGGTACCGGGCCTGCGTCCCAGGTGGGCCGCTGCAGGGCGAGAACTCCAGCTCCGGGGCAGAGATGGCAGCTGCCCTCCGGGGTACAGCAGGACCCCGGCTCCGCTTCCCAAGACAACGGCTCTCCCGCTCGTGCCCCTCCCCGGGGAGCCCCGAGGCCGAAGGCCGCCCGCCGGCGGGAGCTCCCAGTAACCCCGGCTGGGGCTTCACCTCGCCGCTTCCTGCCGCCGGGGGAAGGGGGCTCGGCGGTGCAGGGCCCGCAGCGGCCCCGCCACCTCGGCGTCTGAGGGGAGGCCGGAGGGAGCCCGGCGCCCCAGCCACCGGCCGGGCCTGCCCCCCACGAGCGGCGTCGAGCCCCTGCCGCGGGCGGAGAGCGAGCGACCCGGCTGCTTCTCTCTCACCCGGATCTTGCGGCTGATCTCGGTGCCGATCTCCATGGTCGCG